GCCAGAACCGCCGACGCCACGCCGTAAGTGAAGCAGCAGCAGAAGCAGGCAGCAAGTCGCCGAGACAGCAGCAAAAACAAGCAGGCACGGATATGAGGGCGGGGCACTGGGGAGTTCTTTACGTCTACATCTATATCTACACCTACATATACATCGACACCTACATCTACATCTAGATCACATCTAATCTACACCTACAGCTACATCTACATCTACACCTGCATCTACATCTACATCTACATCAACAGCGATACTCACATCTATGTCTACATCTACACCTACATCTACACCTACATCTGCATTTACATCTACACCTAAATCCACATCTGCACCTACACCTACATCTACATCTACATCTACACTTTCGCATTGGTTTTGCTTTTGCTTTGCATTGCCTTTGCTTTTGCTGTTGCCTTTGCTTTTGCCTTTGCCTTTGCTTTCGCTTTCGCGTTTGCTGTTGCTTTTGTGCCGCTTTTGGTTTTGCTCTTGCTTGGTTTTGCTTTTGCTTGGCAGCAACCTATATATATATGTATGTATATCAGCAATAGTGGATGCTGTGCTGCGCTATGCTATGCTCTGCTCTGCTCTGTTCTGCTCTGCTTTGCGCTGCTCTGCTCTGCTATGCTATGCTGTGCTATGCTGCGCCATGCTATGCTAGGCTAGGCAAGGCTATGCTATGCTACCCGGGCATCAAGATGATCGTTGCAATCTACGACGGTCGCACGTTCGAGGTGCAGGACGAGCATGACAGCAGTAGCCAGCACGCCGTCCTATGGCATCGCGCAGGGGTGTCCTCTGAGTCCGCATCTGTTGATCATCATGCTGACCGTTTCGATGGGGGACGTCGAGCAGGCAGTTACCCCGTAGTTTTGACACGCACGCGCGCTGATCTTAATTGTGCCGACGTGGCATACGCGGACGACACGGCGCTGGTGTCGAACGATGTCGCAAGGCTGCACTTTTGTCTGGACCTTTGATCTCTAGAGCTCGAATGTACGGATTGGGGCCCACTTGGGACAAGGCCGTGCACTTGAGAATCAGGCACGACGCGGGCATCCACACGTCGCACGGCATGCCGCTAAAGATGGTCACTTCGACGGTCTACCTGAGCAGCCTCTTCTGTGCCGACGGGGAAGCAGGGGCATCAGTTGCCAGGCGGGTGGGCGAAGCCCGCGCATCTATCGATTCGTTACAAACTGTTTGGAGGCACGCCAGCACAAGTAGGGCAAGACACGTCTACATGTTTAATATGCGTCGTATCGAAACTCGTGTGCAGTTTCGAATCGGTCAGCATACAGCAGGCCGTGTCACTATCGACGCTTTTCAATCGCAGCGTTCGCGTAAGATTTCCAATGTCGCACATTCGATGGTTTCACATGTTAGCAATGCAAGGGGTTCGGTGCAGAGCAAACCAGCAATGTTTAAGCCAGCGCGTGCCTGTCAATCAATTGAAACACTGTGGATAACAGTCCGCCATGCTTAATGGAATGTTGCCTCGCGAGACTGTTTTCCAGAGCGGGAGCTCTCGTTTCCCCGACCCCGGGCGACGTCGCAGAGGCCGTCCCAGAGACTGCAGTGGGCTTCGGTAATGCACGCGCACGCGCTGACAATAGCAACGTGAATGCACGGCTGGGCACAAAACCAGGGAGAAGCCGTCCGACAAACGCTCGGACATAGCACCTTTAATCGTCACGTGTGGAAAGAAGCAGTGGTGAGGTATTGCTTGGGTTGAACGTTCGCCGGCTGAGCCTCTCAATGTTCCCCAATCAGAGCTTGCCTGTGTAGCGGTCCTAGCGGATTCATTCCCCAATCAGAGCTTGCCTGTGTAGGATCTTATGGGATTCGTATGGTTAGGTGAGGTATGGCACCGATTTCGGCGGCATACCCGGGTGCCCAGGTGCCCAGGTGCCCGGGTGCCCCAATGCCCGTGTGTCTTATAGCCCTACAGCCCCATAGCCCTATAACACTATAGTCCCACAGCCCACTTGACATTCAGCCACGGCCCTATAGCCTTGTAGCCCTATATGCCTATATCCCTATAGCCCCACAGCCCTCTAGCCCTATAGTCCTATATTTCGATGTGTATATATATGTGCGTATATATATACAAATGTACATGTCTATATACATGCTGTATAGCCCTATAGCCTTATTGTCCCATAACCCTCTAGCCTCATAGCTACCTATAGCTCTATAGCCCTATCGCCTGAGAGCCCTATCGCCCTGTAGCCGTAAAGAGATTATGGTTAGGGCTTTCAGTGGTATCGTTTGGTCAGGTGAGGTGTGCCACCGATTTCCGCGGCCCGCCCGGGTGCCTAGGTGCCCGGGTGCCTCATAACCCTATAGCCCTATAACCCGATAAGCCTATAACCCTAGAGCCCCATATCCCAATAACCAATAGCAATATAGCCCAATAGCCCTACAGCCCTATAGCTTGATAGCCCTATAGCCCACTCGCCCTGGAACCCTATAGCTCTATAGCCGTAAATCCCTACAGCCGTATAGCCGTACAACCCTATAGCCTTATAGTCTTATCGCTCTATCGCCTTAGAGCCCTAGAATTCTATAACCCTATAACCCTATAGCCCTATAATCTTATAGCCCTATAACCCACTCGCTTCATAGCCCTATCGCCCAATAGCCCTATAGCCATATCGCCCCATAGTTCTATATCCTTATCTCCCTATAGGCTTATAGCCTTGTAAATAGCCCCGTATCGGCTCATAGCGCTATGTCCCTATGGCGGTATAGCCCCAGGGCCTTATAACGCTATGGCCCCATAGCCCTAGAGAGCTATAGCCCTACGGTTCTATAACGTTATCGCCTTATGGCCCTATCGCTTTATCGCCCCAGAGCCCTATAGCTCCATAGCCCTATAACCCTATAGCCCTATAGCCCAATAGCCTTAGAATTCCTATAGCCCAATAGCCCTATAGCCCTATAGCCCTAAAGTGCGTTTGATTGGGTTTTTCTCTGGTATCATGTGGTATCATGTGTAGGGGTCCTTTTTAGGTGAGGTTAGTCACCGATTCCCGCGGCCCGCCGGAGTGCCCGGGTGCCTTATAGCCGTATAGCCCTATGGCCCTATAACCCTATGGCCGTCTAGCCCTATAGCCCCATAGCCCAGTAGGCTTATAGCCCAACAGCCCAATAGCCCTATATCCCTATAGCCCTATAGCCGTATAGCCTTATAGCCTTATAGCCTTATAGCCTTATAGCCTTATAGCCCTATCGCTCTATCGCCCTAGAGCCTTATAGCTCTATAACCCTTTAACCCTATAGCCTCATATAGCTCTAAGAGACCTATAGCCCTATGGCCCCATCGCCCTATAGCCCTATTGCCCAGTAGCCCAATAGTCCGATAGCCCTATATCCCATATCCCTACTGCTCTATCGCCTTGTAATTTGATATCTTTATAGCCCTATAACCCTATAGCCCGACAGCCCCGTAACTCTACAGCTCTATATGCCTATAGCCCAATGGCCCTATAGCCCCATAGCCCTATATCCCTATAGCCCTATAGCCCCATAGCCCTATATCCCTATAGCCCTATAGTTCTATGGTCCCATAGCCCTATAGCCCTATAGCCCCACCGCTCTATAGCCCTACAGCCCCGTACCCCCAGAGCCCCAGAGCCCCATAACCCTACAACCCTACAGCCCTAGAGCCCTATGGCACTACAGCCCTACAGCCCTATAACCCTATAAACCTATAGCCTTATGGCCCTATAGCCCTATCGTTCCATAGCCCTGTAGCCCTATAGCCCCACCGCTCTATAGCCCAATAGCCCCATAGCCCTAAAGCCCTAAACAGACTTTGACTGGGTTTTGCTCTGGTGTCATATTTATCATGGTTTTCAGTGAATCGTTGATACAGCTCTTTTTATATATATATATATAGATATAGAAAAACAATATTTGCCCGTGGAGCCAGAGATGGCGACGCTGAGTTTACCTTGCTCCCCGCGCGGTTGCCGCTGGCGTGCTGTTGTACATACGCGCGTGCGATCTGCAACCAATGTGCCTTCTAGCCGCGGCTCACTTGACTTGATTTGGCGGTGGAATTTTGTATTCTTTTTTATGCTGACGCTTGCACCCCGACAACGGCCGCGAACTGTGGATGGGCGTTTTTTACGGCAACAGCGGAATGGGGGCGGAAAGGATGGGTGTAAAGACCGGCGGTGCGGTGTGACCCCGGTTGTTGCACGGCGCTGTGTGGGGCACATTGGCGCAGCCGATCCGATCCGTCTTCGACACCGTGCCGATATGCAGCCCGATCCGAGACACATTTCGTTCCGATCCGATTTCCCGATTCGATGTTGACCGATCCTGGCCCTGGACGGCGTCTGCGGTCGGGCATTGCCCCCCTCCCTCTCCGTCCCCTTGCCGGGCGGGGCAGATATCTCGGCCAGGCCGACCCGGGGCTCAGCATCGGCGCGCGCGCACTCCTGGCTCAGTGCAGGAGGGCAAGCGCGCCGTTCCTTGGAGAAGGGGATCGACTACACAATTGATTCACCCCATAATTGATGTTTCATCGAGCCCGCGACAACACACGAGAGTGCTCCATATTTTTACGTCGATTTGACGAGAACATCAGTCTTGGGGTACATCAATTCTGTAGTCGATCCCCTACTCGAAGGACCGGGCCCTGGGCCGGCTACCAGTCAGGGCCCGCGCAGGCGCCTGGGTGGGTGGGCGCCCTGCGGCCCCCTGCCGCGTGGGCCCCCAGGCGGTCTGGTGACCACACCGCTTGGTGAGTCGGTGGGCGTTCGGGGCCACCGCCTCGAGGAGGAGGAGGAGGAGGAGGAGGAGGAGGTTCTGCGACGCGGGTCGTTCTCCGAGGACGTCTCGGGCGACTTGGGCCTCCAGGGTCCCCGATCCGTGCGGCGACGGACCGCGCGGTGGGGTCCCTTGGGGTTCCGAGATCCGCGCGCGGTCCCTCACCGCACGGCTTGGGGCCCCGAATTGTGGGAGGGCGCCCTGCGACCCCCTGCAGCGAGGTCGGCAGCTGCGTCTTCCAGGGCGGGCAGATCACGTCCACGCAGCTCGTCGGGTACGCCATCGCGGTCGCAGGCCTCCAGGCGTCGCCCTCCCCGCTCGGGATTCCGTTGCGAGAGCCACCCCAAAATTGATGATGATGCTGTTGATGCTGATGATGATGACGATGATGATGATGCTTCTGATGATGATGAGGAGGAGGGGGAGGAGGAGGAGGATGAGGATGAAAATGAGGAGGATTAGGATACAGATGAGGATTCGGATGATATGATGCTGATGATGGTGATGAAGAAGAACATGCTGCTGATGATGCTGATGGTGGTGGTGATGGTGATGGTGATGGTGATGATGATGATGATGATGATGATGATGATGCTGATGATGATGATGATGATGGTGGTTGTGATGCTGCTGCTGATGCTGATGATGATGTTGGTGGTGGTGGCGGAGGTGGTGGTTGTGATGATGGTGATGATGATGGTGTTGATGCTAAAGATGAAGATGCTGATCATGCTGATGATGCTGATTACTATGATGATGCTGCGGAGGATAATAAGAAGGACGAGAATGCGGATGATAAACTGGTGATGATGCCAATGCTGATGATGGTGATGCCGATGATGATGATGATGATAACGATTCTGATGATGATGATGAAAATGATGATGAAGAAGTTGGTGATGAGGAGGAGGAGGAGGCGGAGGGGGAGTCGGATGAGGATTAGAAGGAGGAGGAGGAGGATTAGGATAAGGATGAGGATTCGGATGATGATGCTGATGATGATAGTGATGATGATGATGAAGAATACTAAGATGATGATGCTGATGGTGGTCGTGATGTTGATGGTGATGGTGATGATGATGGTGGTTGTGATGCTGCTGCTGCTGATGATGATGATGATGATGATGATGGTGGTGGTGGTGGTTGCGGTGGTGGTGGTGGAGGTGGTGATGATGAAGGGGTGTTGATGCTAACGATGACGATGATGATGATGATGATGATGATGCCGATGATTCTGATTACTATGATGATGTCGCGGAGGATAATAAGGAGGACGAGGATGCGGATGATGCCACTGATGGTGATGCTAATGCTGACGATGGTGATGGTGATGATGATTATTATTATGATGATGACGAAGAGGAGGATTAGGATAAAGAAGAGGATTTAGATGATGATGCTGATGATGAATATGTTGATGATGCTGCTGCTGCTGCTGCTAATGATGATGCTGATGCTGCTGCAGATGATGGCGATAATGATGTTGCTGATGATGATAATGACGATGATGATGATGACGATTATACCGATGATGCTGATGATAATGATGATGCTAATTTGGATGGCGGTGGTAATGATGATGATTCTGCTGATGATGATGAGACTGATGATGAGGCTGATGATGAGGAACACGATTCTGCTGATGATGATGCTGCTGCTGATGATGATGATGCCGATGGCGATGACGACGATGATGATGATGATGACGATCACGATGATGATGATGATGATGCTGATGGTGATGATGAGGATGATGATGATGAGACCGATGATGATGATGATGATGATGATGATGATGATGATGATGATGATGATGCTGATGATGATGATGATGATGATGATGATGACAATTGATGGTGATGGTGATGGTCATGGTGATGGTGATGGTGACGGCGATGGTAATGATGCTGCTGATGATGTTGATGATGATAATGATGACGAGGCTGCTGCTGATGATGATGATGCTGATGATGCTGCTGCTGATGATGATTCTGATGATGATGATCGTGATGATGATGAGGATGACGATTCTGATGATGATGATGATGACGATGATGATGATGATGATTTGGATGATGATGATGATGATGATGTTGACGATGGTGATGATGATGCTGCTGATGATGATGATGGCGATGACGATGATGATGATGATGATGATGATGATGATGATGATGATGATGATGATGATGATGGCGATGACGATGATGATGATGATGATGATGATGGCGATGATGATGATGATGATGATGATGATGATGATGATGATGCTGATGATGATGATGATGATGATGATGATGATGATGATGATGATGATGATGCTGATGATGATGATGATGATGATGATGATGATGATGATGATGATGATGATGATGATGATGATGATTTGGATGCTGATGATAATGATGGCGATGGTGATGGTGATGGTGATGGTGATGATTCTGAGTATGATTACGATAATGGTCATGATTTTGAATATGATGTAAACGATTGTGATGTCGACGACGACTACCCAGACCGCGACCTCGACCACCACAACCGCGACGACGACGACGACCACAACCACGACCACGACCCCGGCCTCGACCACGAACACGACCACGACGACAACGACGAGCTGATCACCCTGCCACAGGCTCGGGACATGGGGCGAGCGTTGGAGGGAGGAGGAGGATGAGGACGAGGAGGAGGAGGAGGCGGAGGAGGAGGGAGGAGGAGGCGGAGGAGGAAACCGGAGGGGGAGGGGGAGGGTGCGGGCGACTGGGAGGAGGAGGTGGTGGAGGATGAGGAGGAGGATGAGGAGGAGGAGGATGAGGAGGAGGAGGAGGAGGAGGAGGAGGAGGAGGATGCCGATACTGATGCTGATGCTGATGATGCTGATGCTGCTGATGCCGATGCTGTTGATGCTGCTGATGATGCTCATGATGTTTGAGGCCCAGCAGGCCCAGAACTCTCGCGCAGTGTGCTAGCACCACCCCTCCTCACTGCGCGGCGCTGCCGCAGAGCCGCTCTGTTCTTGGGGGTAAGGTTCAAGAGGAGGAGGAGGAGGAGGAGGAGGAGGAGGAGGAGGAGGACAGGGAGGATGAGCAGGAGGTCGAGGAGGAGTAGGAGGAGGAGGCGCCTCCAAGTTTTGTGACCTGTCCTGGGGTGAGATGGGATCTGCCACGGTTGCTCTCCAGCTACGGTTCTGCTCAGCACGCCAGTGCAGACACGTCCCAAATGGGAGCGAAGCGCTAGCCGTGTTTTGCGTTTGGGGCGCTTGGCATTGACAGGCGCTTCCGCAGCAAATAGGTGACAGACATACGGTTTCGTCGGTTCTCGGCTGTTCTCGGCGACCTTTTCGGACGTTTTCGTTCGGGCGTCTGCGTTGGTTCTCGGCGGCGGGTTCCGGTTTCGGACGTTTTCGTCGGTTCTCGGCGGTTCTCTGGCCTCGGGATGTGTCCCAGCGGCCGCGCGTCGCCGAGGGCTTCCCGTGGCTGCCTGGATTGTCCCGAACGGCCGTCTCAGAGTCGAGATTCGACCTGGGGCCACGGGGTCATGTGAGGGGGGGGTTGCCAGCCTGGAACATATCCCTATCCCTATGCTGGGCACCTCCTCAGCACGATGCCAATCTTGGGGATTCCCTCACTTTTTGAGGGCGAATCCCTAAGGTTGTCGTCGCCTTTTGGCGTGTCAATCTTAGGGATAGGGATACGTTCGAGGCTGGTAAGGGGGGGAGAGGCTTGTCGACCACGGGCCTTTTGCTGATCGCAACCAGCCAGCTCTCTCGCCGAGGACCGCTGGAAACTGCCAAAGACCGCGGGAACCCCCCCCAAAGGCCGCCCGGAAACCGCCGAAGACCGCCCAAGCCCGCCGCCAGACGGCCCAGGAGCGACGGGCAGTAAGGGGTCCCACGGTCGAACACGCAGGGCTCGGAGGGGGGGCGCGACGGCGGGCGCGCGGGGCGCATCGCGGGGGCGCGAGGCCACGAGGCCGGGACGCCCAGCGGGGCGGAGGTCCCCAGATGCCCCCTCGCCGGAGGCGCGGGGGGGCCCTCTTGCCTCCGTGGGCTCTTGTCGTGCGGGCGGGCCCTCCTGGCCTTGCCGGTTGCCTGCGGTGGCGCGTCCCTCGGGGCGACGGCGGCGGGTACGGAAGCAGTGGGCAGCAAGACCCCGTCGGGCGCCTTCTTCGATGTATGTATATATGTATATATGTATATATGTATGTATGTATGTATGTATGTATGTATGTATGCATGCATGCATGCATGCATGCATGCATGCATGCATGCATGCATGCATGTATGTATGTATGTATGTATGTATGTATGTATATATATATATGAATATGTGTGTATATATATATATATATGTATAGATTTATATTTATATCGGAGGTGAGGGGGTGAGATCGAAGTGAAACGGAGAGCCCCCCTACCGGGAAATCGGTTTCGGTTTCGTGTTCGTGCGTGCCGTGCGTGCGGGCGAGGCGAAGCTACGTGGGCGGGCGAGAAGAAAGTCTCCTGTAGCTGAGGCTCGGCCGGACCAAATGATTCCGAACCGGCGTCCGGTGGCCCGCGGTGTCCCGCCGGTGTCCCGCCTCCGGCTGAGGCGCGGCTGGACCAAGTGATTCTGGGCCCGCGGTGTCCCGCCGGTGTCCCGCCTCCGGCTGAGGCGCGGCCGGACCAAATGATTCCGGACCGGCGTCCGGTGGTCCGCGGTGTCCCGCCGGTGTCCCGCCTCTGGCTGAGGCGCGGCCGGACCAAATGATTCCAGACCAGCGTCCGGTGGCCTGCGGTGTCCCGCTGGTGTCCCGCTGAGGTCCCGTCGGTGTCCCGATGATGATGATGATGATGATGATGATGATGATGATGATGATGGTGGTGGTGGTGGTGGTGGTGGTGATGGTGGTGGTGGTGGTGGTGATGATGATGATGATGGTGGTGGTGATGATGATGATGATGTCGATGATGTTGTTGATGATGATGATGGTGTTGGTGATGGTGGTGATGATGATGGTGTCCCGATGATGATGGTGGTGATGATGATGATGATGATGATGATGATGTTGACGATGTTGATGACGATGATGATGATGGTGATGGTGGTGATGATGTTGGTTTTCCGATGATGATGGTGTTGATGATGATGATGATGATGATGATGATGATGATGATGTTGCTGATGATGATGGTGTCCCGATGATGATGATTTTGATGATCATGATGATGTTGATGATGAGATGATAAGATGATGATGAAGATGATGATGGTGTCCCGATGATGATGATGATGATGATGATGATGATGATGATGATAATGATG